ACTACTCACCGCCAACTCTTAAGGTTGATAGTTGTGTTAGTTTCCGCCTGTTCTCGTTTTCGATCGTCATTCTGATCCTTATCGCCAACTGAGAAGTGCACCTAGAAAGTAAGGAAAGCGATGGCGACGTACGAACGCCATAAAGAGTAAGTTAGAACAAGAACTATATCAGACACATTGATGCAAAGTACTAATGAGCCGTTCCATGTTTCACTTTCAACAAATAAACGGAACAAGAATGTAATTCAACGTACCCCTTTGAATCGTTGCATAGGCGCCTCACCGGAAACTTTATCATAAGAAACAACACCATTTTCTACGAATGCTTCACCATCTTGCGATCTTTCATGCCCATCATCTTTGCTGTCTGCTAACCCATCGAGATCCTCTGTAGTTATCTGAAAAAAATGAGCTGCAGTTTATGTAGGATTCGCTCAAAATACGATCTATGGAAGACTAACAAACTTCGAATCTTTGTAACACAACGAAAATTTCTGCTAGTGTAAATTCAGAATCAGATACGAGCTATGAGATTATTAGAAAAAGTTCGCATCCTCCTCTTGTAGCTAGATCTACGCTCAATCGTAACGAATTACAGAATTTCCAGAAGTATTCTGTAGAGTAGTCACAAAATCAAATAACCTTGTAAACAAATAGTGCATTATAAATAATGTTGGTAAGCATTATTTTGAATTTAAGAATATATGACTTACCTGTTAATGAGAATGATCTTAATTGCATATTGAAAAGACAAGTTCCAACATCAATCTCGAATTTTTGAAGAAAACCTTACTTTGGCTATGGTTAAAAAAGCGCTGTGCCAGAACAATCAACCTTCATTTTTTCGAGGTTCTTTTGCACAACGTCTAGAAACGAAGTCCTGTCAACTCAGTTTTTCCTTCAAAAAAATCCCCACCAAACGGTGCGCTGTTTTATCTTATGAATACAGAGATAACAAATTTCCTACTTGAGGTAGATTTTAAAAGCAAGCCTTCGAAAATACAGTCTACGAAAATATGTTCAATCTCCATATAAGATTAACTTTGCAATTTTCAACAATGCGGCAACGCAGCCGTCGACGCCTACGAGTCGCGGCGCGGCAAGACATCTGCCGTAGAGTCTGTGTGCATTGCTGTACATTCTATAGGCGGCAGCACCAGGCCACTATGTCCCAAATGGGATGTTTTTTAGAAAAAAAATTTATACGATTCGCTAACAAGTACTTATTTAACAAGTATTTTCCACTGTGATGTAGAAATATCTCACGATTAGAAGGAAAATTTGAGATCTTTGCTAAAATGAACAACAGCAGAACATATAAGAGACTGCGAGGTTTTGTGGTTTAATAGAATTTAGAATATAAAAAGAGAAAGCAAACATGAAAGAGTACAAGCATCAGCTTACCACAAATCTACCCGAAGAGCTGGTCTTTCGTTCTATAACATTTTTCGGTGGAGGCGGTTCACTAGCGCTTTTCGGCTTCGTAATTGTTTCAACTTCCAACTCATCTGGAGACTCAGTTTTGAAAACCTGAAAAAAAAAGTATTTGTGTACGCAGTGCGACGTTAGCTACAATTTCCACATTTTTGTTGTTAGTTCGGTAAACTTTGCTGGTCATCCAGTTTGTGTTCATGAACTGCCAAAATGACAACAATTACAATGCACTTAATGACAGTTAACTTCATTTTCTATGATCTTACGCTTTCCACAAACACTTGCAATAAAA